GCGACGGTGGTGTGGGCGGCCATTTGCGCGCGCGCGGCGGCGGCGCACGCCACAAAGTCGCCCTCAAACACGGACGCGCCCTTCCAGCTGTTCTGCTGCGCCTGCAGCACGTCGTTGAAGCGCGCGGCGAGCTTGCCGCCGAAGCCGGCGACCCAGAGGTGCGCGCAGTACTTGGCGCCGCGGTTGTCCGAGTACGCGCGCGTGACCTGGCTCGAGAGCGAGATGCGCTCCTTGTCCGTCATGTACGCCTCAAAGTCGCAGTCGAGGACGATGCTGAGCGGCACGAGCGTGGCCGCGTGCTTGTCGCGCCCGTACACGACGCGCGGGTCGGCGCCGCCGGCGACGAGCGCCGCGCGCTCAGAGCGCACGCGCTGCTTGTGCGTCTGCCGCTTCTCCCGCCGCTTCAGCCGCCGGTCCTCGCGGCCGTCCTCCCACTGCTGCTGCTTGCGTAGCCGCTTCTGCGCGTTCTTGGACAGCGGCGTGGGCTGCTGCAGGTGGCTGGCTTCCCCCTCGGGGCAGGGGGCGGTCTGCTCCGCCGCTGCTTGCGAGGGAGTGGCGGTGGCGGGAGGCTCGGGAGCTGCGACTGATTGTTCGCTGGAGGTCATTGTGTGAAAAGGTCGACTTATAAGTACAGCGTGATGAGAGACGAGAGGTGAGCCGGTTCTCACGGCCTGGAAGGTGTATGTTGGCAGAGAAGGGCCAATTCGTCGTGTGAGAGCTGAAATGGAAGAAAGTCCCAGAAAAAGTGTATCCTTGAATGTCATGTAAGCGTAATGTTGATTAAACTCAGACTCGTTCTTGTCGACGTTGAAAAAACCATGGAAAAAGGCCACCAACTTTTTCCAGTTACACTGAAGCAGGCGGGTCAAACCTCAAAGTAGGTACCTTTGTACCTATTTTCCCCACAAATTACCACGATCCACAGTCGGCCAATCATAGCTCGCAAAATGATAATAAATCACGTGATGACTACGGAGTGCTCCATCTCTCACCAGAAGAAAACAGCTCCCCCGTGGCTTCAAGACTAGTTACCCTTCAGCAACATTGCCCCCGACACACATGGCTAGCCACGAGGACCACGGCCATCAGGCCGCCGCCGGGGCGGACAATGTCTACCAAGCTCACGACGTGCTCGACGAGACGGCCAAGACGGCCGTCGTCGGTCTCGGGGCGGGTTTCTTCATGGCGGCGGTGCAAAACGCCTTGTCGAAGCGTAATGTTGGTGCCTTTGGCGTATTCAGCCGGGGCGCTCCCATCATTGGACTGGCCGGTATGCATTAAGATCTCCCCAGATGAGCCAATTGGACGATGAAGGCGACGCTACGCGTAAAAGCCTCTTGGTAAACTCGCCGTCGGCAATTCAAGATGTCCGGCTACGCTTGGATTTGGGTGCTAACTTTTGTGTGTGTCGTATAGCTGCCTCGCCTGCCGCCTACACATTTGTCTCCCGCACAGTGATGAACCTCCGCGAAAAGGACGACGCTTTTGCCGCCGCCCTCGGTGGCTTCGCCGCCGGTGCTGTCATCGGTCTTCCCAGTGAGTAGCTCTGCGGACACCTTATGATTTCCCAATGAGGAACAAAAGAAGAAGGAAAGAAGCTGACATGTCTTGTAGCCAAACGCATGCCCATGGTCTTTGCCCTCGGTGGCCTCGTGGGCGGTGTTCAGGGCGCGTTCAAGCTGCTCGGCGGGCGCCTAGACAGCTTCAAGGAGGAGGGTGACGAGTTTGCGCGCAAAGAGACGATCCGCCGGACAACACGTGTGCCCGTCGAGCAGACCATCTCCGAGATTGGCGAGGGACGAGGTATGTCTCGACGACCGCACACCACTATGATGTAGCTGCTAACGACGTACAGGCATCAAGCCTCCAGGCTACGAAGACCGCCGGAGAGAGCGAATCCAGGAAAAGTACGGCTTCGAGATCAACCCCGTCAAGGCGACTGTCGAGGGCAGCCAATAAACCTTGGCGGCCTCTCGTGCACACTTCTTGAGTGAGACGAGACCCGACCCCGCCGGGGTTATGGTGGTGGTGAAATAACATGTACATAACCTCTTCTATGGCTGAGAAGAGATGCTACACTAGAGAATTTGGGATTTTTTTTTGGGTTCTTTCTGTCCTTGCTGAAGTGCTGCGTGCAGCGTCTTGCCGAGGCCACCAAAGGTACGCCCCCTTCTCACAACCCCTTTTTCACACTACCCGTTTCTATGATGATACGTTGAGGCTGTTTATGATCCTCTGATTACATCAACTCACCATCTATCTACATTGTTTTTCACTGAGAAACATATCCTTCCGCCATACATGTACCTGCTAAAGGGAAACGCACACCGCTAACAAGGACCTCGACAGATCTCAGCAAACGTTGATAAACTGAGGTGGACGAGCAAAGTGTTCTCGCCTTCAAAGACAGCCTGGCGTACATACCGCCGCATGTTTATTTATTTGTTATATACTCTTTATATTATCAGCGCCATTTTGATATGACACCTCGTGTCTGTGCTGCGATTCATAAGCCTTGCGTAATATACAACCAAACAACGCCATTTCGCCCTAGAATAAAATCACGCTATGATGTATCAATGACCGGTTACAGCTTATAGCGCCTTGACGGACTGAAAGAAGGGGTTGGCCAGTAGTTTCTCGTCGTCGCCCACGAGCGCCTTGAGCCTGGCAACCTGCTCCTCCTTGCTGAGCCCGGCGTCATGGACCTCGGCGCGCCAGCGCACCAGCAGCGCCTTGAGCAAGGCGCTGCCCTCCTCGACATGCGCCTTGCTGTAGCTCAGCCCCCCGAGGTCCTCGTGCTTGGCGGTAAAGTCCTCGAGCTCGTCGGCCTTGCGCTTGGCCATGCGCACGACCTTGTCCGGGAAGCGCACCAGCTCGGCGACGTGAATGCCAAAGCTCTGATCGCAAATGCCGGGCTCGACCTTGTACAGCAGGGTGACCTCGCGCTTGGCACCGTCATCGCCATTCTTGCCGCCGTCGGCGCCGCCAATGTGCGCCGTGACGTGCAGGTTGGCCACGTTGGGGTGCTGATCGGCGAGCGCGGTGAGCTCGTGGAAGTGCGTGGCAAAGAGGGCAAAGCAGCGAATCTCCTTGACAATGTGCTCGGAAATCGCCCAGGCGAGGCCGAAGCCGTCATAGGTGGACGTGCCGCGGCCGAGCTCGTCAATGATGATGAGGGAGTCGGCCGTGGCCGACTTGAGAATGTTGGCCGTCTCGAGCATCTCGGCCATGAACGTGGACACGCCCTTGAGCTGGGAGTCGCTGGCGCCGACGCGGGCGAGGACAGCGTCAAAGATGGTGAGCTCGGCAGAGGTGCAGGGCACAAAGGAGCCGATTTGCGCGAGGAGCGCAATGGCGCCAATCTGCCGGATGTAGGTCGACTTGCCGCCCATGTTGGGCCCGGTGATGATGAGGAACGACGAGGCGTCGCGGGTGAGCGTGACGTCGTTTGTGATGAACTGGACGTCGTCCTGCAGCTCAAGGCAGGGGTGGCGCGCACCGACAAGCCGCGTCTGGCCTTGGCCGCCGGGCGGGTGCATGGTCGGGCGGACATAGACCTCGGGGGCGTGGACGGCGCAGTGCGCGAGCGAAACGATGACGTCGAGGTGCGCGAGGACGCCGGCGAGGCGCTCGAGCACGGGGCAGTACGAGGCGGCGACCTGCACCACCTCGTGCACGAGGCCGCTCTGCGTGCGGTTGTAGTTTTGCGACAGCTGGTCGTGCTCGCGGCGGTACGCCTGCAGCTTCTTGGTGGTAAAGTAGACGCCGTTCTTCTGCGTCGAGCACTCCTGGTACTGGGCCCTGTTGCGGATGCAGCTGGCTTCTTGTCGCGTCAACCGCATGCACACACCGTGAACTTTGTGGCTTGTCTCGAGGAAGATCTTCTTGTCCGCCTCCTGACCGAGGTCGGCGGCGGCTTCCTGGAACTCGGCGCGGATGTTGCGGTCGAGCGCGTCGAGCTTCTTGCGGATGATGCGCAGGCCGGCGTCGTAGTCGGGCTTGATAATGTACTCGTGGCGGTCGAGCGCGTCGAGGTCCACCGTCTGCTCCACCATGTCCTGCAGCCGGCCGAGGCTGTCGGACAGGTCGCGGAGCTTGCTCGTGTAGGCCGCGTCGAGGGGGTCGCGGTACGCCTCGTCCATGACGCCTTCTAGTGTACCGAGGAAGCCAGGCAGGCGGATGATGACCTGGTACGCGCGGACGACGTCTTCGAGGTCGGCCTTGTTGCGCTGGAAGCGCTTAGAGAGCCGGTACAGGTCGGGGACGGAGCGCAGGTGTGTTTCTTGCATCGTCTGGCGGAGCTCCGTGTCGGTGACAAACGCCTCGACGAGCTGCTGGCGCTTCTCAATCTCGTCCTTGCTCATCAGCGGCTGCTTGAGCCACTGCGCCAGCAAGCGGCTGCCGACGGGCGTCTTGCAGTGGTTTAGCACGCCATAGATGCTCATCGTCTTGGCGCCGTCGCGGGGGCCGGGCATCAAGTTCAGCGCCTTGAGCGCGGCGGCGTCGAGCTTCATAAACTGGGCGAGGTCGTGCTGGTAGAGCTGGTACTGGCCAAAGTTGGAGGGGTCCTGGAGGATGCTGAGGTACTTGATGAGCGACGCGGCCGAACCCATGGCGAGCTTGAGGTCCGTCTGGGGGAGCAAAGCGGTGGCCGTCTCGTCCTTGAGCAGGCGCGCCAGGTCCTGGTCAATGTCGCGGATGCCAAAATCGGCGGCGGGCCGCTCCGCAATGGCGACGCCACAGCTGTCCAGGATTTGGCGGAGCTTGGCCAGCTCGGGGTCCTTGTCCTTTTCTGACTTGTCCTGGGGCAGGAGGCACTCGCGGACGCCGAGCTGGATGAGGAGGGCCTCGAAGTTGGAGTAAAGGTCGTTGTCAAGGAACTCGCTGACGCCGAGCTCGCGCACCGAAGCATCGGCGAAGCAGACGCCGACGGCGCGTGCCTCGGAGGCGCGGGTGGAAATTTTGACGGACATAATCATGGGCGCCGACTCGAATTGGCCACCGAGGTCGTCCTCGACGTCCTGTAGGTTGCCGGGGGAGGCCTGCTTGGCGCAGCGCCAGTTCATGCGGCCGTTGGGGCTCTGCCAGATCTCGACGCGCCGGCCGAGCTTGAAGAGCGCCTCGCGCAGGAACTGCCGGAAGACGGTGACGGTCATGGTGACGGAGGGCAGGCCGGTGTGGTCGTTGCGGCCGAGCTGGCGGACGACCGAGGTGGTTTTGTAGACCTGGGTGTGTTAGAGGGGGGTAGAGGTGTGCTGATGGATAGTGGCGTACTGTGTTGGCAATGTAGTTGGCATCGTCGCCATGGGAGGTGTACCAGTCGCCTCGGTCAAAGATGCGGACGGTGTCATCGTTGGGGGCGGGGAGCGACTTAAAGAAGCGGATGAAGCTGCCCTCGTCGTCGAGCTTCTGCTGTTAGTGTGGGATGGGCATTGTGTCAAACGTGTTGAAATTACCTTGAGTTCCGGACGGGACGCCATTGCAGGAAAAGACTCTGCGGAGAGGGTGCAGAGGATGCTGAAGGACGGTTCCTGAGATGGGTTTCGTGGCTGGTTGATAGGTGCTGGAGCTGGCCCTTTAGCTGGGTGCGCGTCAGGGTCCTGGGCGACGCGTTTTTGGCCAGACGAAATAAAGTGGCGACGCGAAAGAGGCACGACAAACGACCAGGTTTTACTGTATTTTTACGCTGTAAATTATCGGTACTCCGTGCACACGAGGAAAAGAAGAAGAGGAAAATTAAAATCATGGGAGCAGAGTTGCAGAGAATATCAAGACTGGGAATTTGGCAAAGATGGAGATGGTGACGACTATGGTAAGTGAAATATCGACGAATTACCTCATGCCATCTGTTTGTGGCCTTGTCTGTGAATGAAGATGAGGATGCGCTTACCAGTACTCATCTACCTGTACCTAGGTACTCGATTGCATTTGGCTTGGAGGAAAACCGCCAAATTATTATTCATGTCACACGTGGCCTTGAATAGCCTCCAGCCTAACAAAGCCGGCTCGCCCTACGACAGCCGCCGCGGCTCACCCTAGCCAACACATGACACTTGCTCGCTGTGTTCGCCTCCCCTACTTTTCCGCATGATGAGAAGTACTTGAGACGGACCTCATTCACCGGGGGGATACCAGAGGCAGCCTGCTGTGATACAGTGCCCGGCAGCCGGCGGTCGGCCACCCTGATAGTAATGTGGCCATCTCCCACCGCCCGGCTACCCATACCTAGCCGGGCCATTATTCAGCCCTCCACACACCTTGTCAGCCTTCGGTGATGGTGGCACACTTACTACTTGGTATGGGACCGCTTATATCCAGCTCCTTCTTGGCGCGGTTCGCTTGTGTGGTTGGCGTGAAGGCTACCAAGCGAGGTTCGAGGACACAATCGCCAGAGGCCAAGACATGGAGATGAACTCGACCACGGACACGACCCCGGCAGACGATCTCCGTCCCTTTTTTCTAACCTGTTTGACGAGAAAGAAACATGGCCAACAGAGAAGGGGCCGCGGATACGTGCAGAGAAGCCCGCCGTCTGGATAGGTCCTTCTTGGCAAAAGACCATCAAGGTGCACACCTCCAGCCCATGAATGCGAGCCCGTACAACTCCCTACACAAACTACGAACCATCTTGTCCATCAGGGTCATCCATCAATCCACTCGAGAAAATTATTCTTAAAATGCCAAGCCATCCGGATCCTTTTTTTACGTGCAGAGCATGGAAGCTAGGTTGTTGTGTGCAATGACTGGCAGAACTGGGAGGGTCCTACCCAGCTTGATCAGGGCCAAACGACAACAAATGCTGCAACCACCCGTCACCCTCACTCTCTTCTGATATCATCTGTATGTATATTGAAAGGACCCATGCTTGTGGCGTCGTGCTAGTGTCTGCATTGTTCCCAGCCCGTCGAGGGCCGACAACTTTGAAAGGAAGCTTATTTCCTCCCGCCACTGACGCTACATTTTTTTCCTTCGTGTCCCTGCCACGGTTTTTTTTTTCTGGCTTAAAAGAGTTTCCCACGCCGCACTTTTTTTTTCTTATTTTTTTCAGCTCTTCACCATTTCTAGTGAAGCGTTGGGCCAACAATCATGATTGGAAAAGTATTCACAGCAGCCGTCTTGTGGGCGACGGCGGCCTCTGCCGCATTCCATCCCATGCGCACGCCGGCTCCGAACCCAGCTGCGGCGGCCGCGACCACACCAACAATCACAGCCGTCACTGACTGTCATTTGCACGGCGCCTCAGAGCTGTATGTCATCTCTCGAGTTTATGGAAAACAAGTACTGATGCCGTCTAGGTACTGCGTGAATGGCGCCACAGAATATCTCATGCAAACAACGCCTACACAAACCACCAACCTACCAGCCAGCTTCACAGGATGCCATGCCCACGGAGCAGATCTGTAAGACTCGGGAGGTCTTCCCCTCGTTCGCGAACCGCGCCAACTAACACAAACACTCCAGGTACTGCTTCGGGCCTGGCGGCGAGGACATCTTCGCCAAGGCTGAGGGCGGCGGCGCTGAGCAGCCCGCCGGAGACAAGGACCATACTGACGAGTCCGGCGGCAACGTCCACTGCCACTCCCACGCCGGTGTCGAGTACGTGTCCCATGCATATCTGTTCCTAAACCTGTCGCTAACCTGCCCAGACACTGTGTCGGCGAGGGCGAGGGAGAGACGGCGCCCCAGTGCGACGCCCCAAAGCGCGACTACAACATTGGTCTGCGCGTCGGTCTCCTCTTCGCCATCATGGCCACGAGCGCGCTGGGCGTCTTTGGTCCGCTGTTTTTGCAGCGCGCCATGGGCAGGCACATGACGCTCCTCTTCACCTTTCTCAAGCAGTTTGGCACGGGCATTGTCATTTCCACCGCCTTTGTCCACGTACGTCCCGTCCCGTGCAGTGAACTGCAGCGAACCGATTCTATATTGCCATGGTGGCTAATCAGACGCAGTTGTATACGCACGCCTCGCTCATGTTCAACAATAAGTGTCTCGGTGATTTGGGCTACGAGTCTGTGACGTCGGCGATTGTTATGGCCGGTCTGTTCCTCTCGTTTATCGTCGAGTACATTGGCCACCGCATCGTCCTGTCCAAGGAAAAGGCCGTGGCGGCGCTCTCGATGGAGGAAAAGTCTCAGTCCATCTTTTCCGCCGAAGTAGTCACTATTCTTGTCTTGGAGGCTGGTATTCTCTTCCACTCTCTTTGTAAGAATGCCTTGGCTCTCAGAAGTACTTTGGCGCTGCTCACTAACACGTCTGGCAGTGATCGGTCTCACCCTTGTTGTCGCGGCCGATCAGTACTTCATCACACTCTTCGTCGTCATTCTATTCCATCAGATCTTTGAGGGTCTCGCTCTCGGCACCCGTATCGCCACCATTGGCACGACCCGCGACCTGCACAGTCATAACGGAAACGCCGCGGATGGCAACAACAGCCCGTCCAACGTCGGGCCCGCAACATCGCACACGGCCCTGCTCCCGCACCAGACGACCGGTCTGTCCCTGCGTAAAAAGATGGGACTGGCCTCGCTCTTTGCGTTTGTCACGCCGCTCGGCATGGCCATTGGTATCGGCGTGCTCAAGACGTTCAACGGCAACGACCCCTCGACCATCATCGCCATTGGTACCCTCGACGCCCTGTCGGCCGGCATTCTCATCTGGGTCGGTGTCGTAGAGATGTGGGCGGGCGACTGGATGGTGGGCTCGCATGGGGCCAAGGCGGAGCTGTCAGACGCGAATGCGCTCACGGTGGGCATCGCCGGCTTCGGCTTGGTTGGCGGACTGGTGGTGATGAGTGTGCTGGGCAAGTGGGCGTAAACAGGCGCCGGCCGTTGGTTGATTGCAGTCATTGTGAAGCTGCGATCCCGTTGCATGCAGTGTAGCAAACGATACCAATATGAAATGAAGGATATTGACTGCAGACTGTTTGCTCGGATGTGGCAGCCAGGTGCTAACTGTAGCTGCCATTGTAGTTGGGCCAGTCGTCTTCCCGTCCAATTACGGGGTGTTGTGGGAAGGTAAGGGAGAAAGCTGTATAAAGGATGCTAATGAAAGGACGATGAAGAAGAAGAGACGCAATGGATGAGTTGGTGAAAGTTCCAACACCGGCAGCCTTTTTTGACGCCATTTCTGGTGGTACCAGTCGGTGTCTTATTTCCTCCTTTTTTTGTCCCTTTTCAGCCTTGAGAAGCGACAACTCGGAGAGAAGCCAGAGAAGCCTCGTTCTCCTTTTCTGCCGCCATTCTCTATTTTCTGGCAGCCGGAATCCTTTGATGGCGGGTAGCCATGTTGCACAGGCGGCCTTGGGAGGGCGTGCTTTTCCTTGACCACCCCCCCACAGCAGCATAAGTCTGGCTGCTCAAAGCACACCTGAATTTGACCATGTCTGCAGCCAGCCGTCTATGGCCGCCCCCGCGCATACTGCATCTACACCCACCCCTCCAGCGGCTAGGCACCGACTGTTGAACAGGATTCAGTATAAAATGGTTGTGTTCTGCCGACTTTCTTTACCCTCTTCTCCCCTCTATAAGCACTGGCTTTCATTCATATACTCTGCAAGCCAGCCTTTGATCATCTCCCATATCAGCAAGGCCTGCTGCCCTGTCGTTTTGCGAGGTCACTGGCGCACAATACCACCAACATCAAATTTACAACCAAGCCTACCCCTTAGAATCCGTCGATAAAACAATGTCCAACCCCTCAACAACTACGGCGCCCCTCGCCGCCGCGCCTCTTTCTCCTCCTCCTTTGTGGCTGGAGCGGGCGCTCACGCAGTCTGCCGACCTGGAAAATACAATCAACGCCGCCAAGGAAGGAGCGAACCTGCCCTCCGATCGCGACGTGACGCGAGTCCGGCGCCGGCTTCGCCAACTGATCAAGAGCTTTGATGGCGTCCACGGGCATATCCGCCGCCACGGCAGGCAAGGTGCTGCTCTTGACGACAACGACGACAACGACGACGACCCCGACGACCCCGACGAGGCTGCCGAATCCGCGCAGCATGTGAGCGATGACGTGCATCCTCACACGACGGACCCTGCTGGTGCCGTCTCGCCGGCGCCTTCTTCTGCTACTGCTGACGGCGACACGGGGTCCGAGAGCCTCGCATCGCCGGTGCAGGCTGCTGCTGTAAGTGTGCTTCCTTGGCTGTTGTATTCTGGGACATTCATGGAGCAACACGGATGGACGGACAACAGAGACGCTATGAAAGTAGCCCATAGCTGTCCAGGCAAATCGCTAATACAAATCACACATATTTACAGAGCCCACCAGCCTCCCCCGCCGTGATGCCAGAGCCGACGCCGGCCCCTGCCGCCTGCCTCCCAGACATATACACCCTACCTAGGATGCCGCCAACGTCGACGCAACCGGTCCCGTCATCGCCAAGCGACGCCATCATCGAGCTCGTCCGACCCCAGTTCCCGCCCCAACTGGGCCACTCCCGATACGAGGCTGTGGTGCCGCCAACGAGCTTCCGCCGCGCTGCCCACGCCGCACTGCTGTCCAGCAGGTACCCGCCGCACATGAACCCGCGCAGCATTCCATGGGCGAGATGCACTATCGGCCGCGTGCCGCCTGTTCGGCCACCATGTCAGGGCTGGCCATGTCAGACGCTGCATGGGCCTCCGCCATTTCGTCCGCAGCAGCGCCCGCTGCATGGTTATTCGCCGCTGCCGCTGCCGCAGCTGCAGGTGTTTGTGACTCCACAGGCGTATGCGCAGAATCAGCGCTATTGGCGGATGTAGCGGCATCACGTAGCGTTGTTTAACTAGAGGAGCACTGTTGAGCAGGGTTGGATAGGAGTCGGTGATGGAACATGGAGTCTTACGCTCGGTGGAACCCGTACTGGACGAGGCTTGGTGTACATTCCAAACGCCTATATTGCAAGTTGATCGTCGTGGGAGGGAAGCTGACTACAACTGGTTACAAGGTACATAATGGAGGACGAACATGGTTGAGGTAGGAAGCGGAGATGGTCGACTTTTTAGTATCTCTTTGGTGCACTTTCATCAGCAAATGACCCGATTCGTTATGTCTTTGGATACCTAGTTATCAATTGTGATTCTAGATGTGCGTGTAGTCCAAGTCTAGAAAGGGCGCGCCATCATGTCTGGTGTCGTAGCATTACCAGTCGCCGCGAGTCGGCAAAATGACATCTTTCCTGTTGAGTGAAGCACCACCAGCAATATCAGTACTTTACAAATCATCATCTCAGCTGCATGCCGTGCTGGACATCCCATTTCTTTGCTCCGATACAAACTCATACCTCAGTCCTTGTAGTTAACCTGGCGCTGCCAGTACTCCTGAAACACCCGACACGCGCGTCCCTTGTCCTCCTTGCCCCTTGTGCTCCTCGCTTCGCGGCGGCACCTGGGGCAGCTGCCCTTGTCAAATTTGCGTCTGCCCGGGTGGTTTCGTACCACTTGGCGCGCGTCATGCTCCTCTGGAGACACCTGGCGGGCCATGTCCGTGCGGACAAAGTCGCCAAGGGCGGCATACATACGCCTCGAAGCGCCAGAGTGGCAGCAGGGCGGATTTATTGGTAAGCTTTCGACATTGTAGGCCGTCTAAAACATTTCAGCCGATGCGAGGATGCTAGGGTAATTATCAAGCGTAAGGGGGGGGGGAGAAAAGCAGGGTCGACTCTCAGTCACGACTGCAAATAGCTTCTCTATCCTCCGTCATTTCGCTTCAGTAGATCCGAGTACATAACAAGAATTAAGCTTACTGCGAAACTTTGTCTAGCCCTTGTAGTTATACTCCTTCTTCAAAGGAGTCACTAGAAAGTGCTCTGCATCCGCTGTACCAACGTCGAAACCATTTTGATGGCTTCTTGAAGAGGAAACCAGAATGAAGAAAATTCTGCATGCCACTGTTTTAAAGTGAAAAATTGTAGTACGCTGCAAAAATGGCGAGTTATTCCAGCGTTGGAAGAAGAGGAGGGAGGTAGTGGTGCCCAGTTCTGGCCATTGTGGGTTGCTGTCTACCGGCCGACACGTCTCGATGGAGTCGGTGGAAAGCGGCCTGGATCTTGGCGTTATGCAGCCTCACAGACAGAAATGATCATGGCTTGCCGGATCCGGTAGCGTAGACGCAAGAAATAACGGATGGCTTTGCAAGAAAGATGGTGGCGGGATGGATCCGAGCCGTGCAACCGGACTCCGGGGACAAGCCCAACTACGGAGTACACTCCAGTGTATGAGGGATCTACCAGCCGATTGGCAGCTACAAGCACGGAACAAGCAGGCGGATGCAACCTCCAGGCACCAGCATAGCGTATTCGAGCGGTCGGCTAAAAACTTGGCCCCAACCATGGCCAGGCTGGCGGCCTCTTTCGGGCTGCTGCATTAGCGTGGACTGTATGTGCTGGTGGGTTGGCCGCTGTTCCTGGCTTGGAGGGTTACCTTGGGGGCATGGGTGTGCCGTGGGATGGAAGAGGGACGTGAGAGGAAAGAGGAGGCGAGGGACGAAGCAAAGTCGAATAAGACGATATAGATATGTGTACGTACGCCAGGGCGGCCGAGGGAGAAAAGAGGAAAGAGACGAGGGGATGGCACGAGGACGAGGACGAGAACAAAGCGACTGTGAGAGATTTTCGAAGATGATGGAACGACGTAGACGCTCCCGTGATGGAAGAAATCGCAAGTGAAAAAGTCAACAGGCACGAGGAAGGGGGGGGGGGCTGCAGGGGAGATTGTATTTCAGTGTGGCTGTGAGGCGCGAGGTACAGACGCGAGCGCTATTCTAGTACAGACATAGAGTAAAAAATTGAAGAGCTCAAGTCTGCCTGTTGACTGCAAAGGCTTGGGGGCAGTGAGGGCGGCCAACGGAGGCCGTCCATCTGCTCTTTTCGGTGAAGAGTGTGATCAGATTGGACGCTTTTGATTCCAGGCAGCAGTGAATAAGTTTTCGCTCTCTACTCTCGGCCTACTTGACCCCTGGCAAGAGACGGGAACCTGCATCTGGTGGCGGTGCCCCGTGGACGAAGGAGGTGCTCGTGGACGGGTGGCAGGGGTAGGGTCTTGCATCTCCAACCAATCACCCAACCCTGCTAAACCGGTTAGCATACGTTATTTAGCACGGTATAACTGATAATTTGACACCGATTCTGGTCTTTTCCGGTCCTTGCGGTGGATTGACTTCAACCAGGCTGAGCGTAGCGAGCCTACAACGTCCGCCATAGAGAAAGCCATCATAGCATATCTCGTCCATTCCGTACCAACCACCACAACAACAAGAACGCTTTATTAGCACTTCTCTACACATCTTTAGTGTCAATCTTTGCTTGGGCCTGTTCAGAGCGGCATTTTTCCCCCAACGTCCTGATGAGCTCGCCTACATGCTGTGCCCGTAGGCGGGCTGTGTTGCAGCTTTTATCCGAGAAACTGCGTCCTAAATAGGCATAGCCAAGGGTACGAGTTGGATATTTGACGGGTTAATCGCAGCTACTGCTGCATAACAGCACCGACCAAGTCAACTTGGAGCGACAACTCATCAACTCAGTCCAAGGCAGCAGCGAAAAGACAACCGTCCAAGATGACTGACTGACGTACGCCCGTCAACGGAAAAGCACATAAACCGCTCAAATTCCCTTCCATTTCCCTCTTTTTCCTCCTCACCCACCATCATCATCCGGGCCTTTCCATCAAGTGCCTTTGCCGTCAAGTGCAGTTCCATCAAGTGCCTTGCCATCGGGTGTCTTTCTATCAACTGTTTTTCCCATCAAGTCCTTCCCCGTCAACGTACCAGTACGTCTCTTCTGAACAGCACGAGCTTGCTCTCGTGTTTTACTCCCAGCTCGACTAACCACCGTTTTATAGAAAAAGTAGCAACACACCCTCCACGAGAAAAACAGCCGCATTGCCAGCCATGGCAGGCAACGGCACCACTGACGACATGGCCAGGGAACTCGTATGGAAGCAGGGAGAAGCGCTCGCAGCGACCCTGCAAAAAGCCTTGGCCGATACTCCGTCGCCCGAATGGACAACCGAGTTGCGGCACCGCCGCTACGTCCAACTCAGGACACTGTGCGCGGTTCTCTTACCAACCCAACGCTGCATGGAGGCAATATACAACGAGTGCCGCACTTTGGAGCTCCATCTTAGCGCAGCCGCCACTCAACCTTACTCGCACCCAGGCAGCGCCGCCGCTCCAGACGGCGGCGCTGGCAACTACATCACACCGTTGAAACGGCGCGCTGAGGTACGTTTCTTCCGGGCTGCACCTCTCAAAGTTTCAGAGGGGGAAATGAAATGCAAAAACACTCCATGTAGAATGAACCCTCCGCTGATTTCCTTCTTCGTTTGTTTCTGTAGGAGCCAGCTTCTCCGCCGCAACGGGTGCCACCGGCGATCGACAGGGAACCAGGACCCACTCACCCGTCGTCCCACCCGTCTTCGTCGTCCGCCCCGGCCGGACACGGCCAAGGTTACCCGCCGCTCCCACCGCAGTCGTCCACCCCGGCCGGGCATGGCCAAGGTTACCCCGTCGTCCCACCCGTCTTCTTCGTCCGCCCCGGCCGGGCACGGCCAAGGTTACCCGCCG